AGCGGTCAGCGCCACCGCGGCCGCGTCGGTCGCGCCAAACTAGCTGGCCGCTGCGGGCGCGACCATGCGCGGGCTAGCGCGGCCGCAGATATGCACCAACCAACACCAAGCACGCATCGTAATCGCCACCGCATGGGTTTTGCAAACCAAGTTGCGGCTGAGCTGGTGGGACGATTGCGCGAACAGTGTAATCGACAACTCATTGCGAACAGAAATGAATACGTTCTCCCCCCCCATCCACGATGATCCCCCACCTTTTCCGTATTGCAACTGACATACGATTCTGCCCCATCCTAAACCTGAGCTCGTACCATCCCAGGCGAGCCGGTATCGACCCCGCCTCGTCATCCGGTGCAAAAAAAAAACTATGCGTGCGCACTCGTTGTTCATCAATCATCAGTTTTCAAACGCCGCTTGCAACCTATATGACGAAGTGCACACGCGCGCGTCGTGGCGCGCGCATGCCACACTCCATCTAAAACCGTGATTTCGTAAGGATGTCAAGGTTGAAAGCCCAAGGAACATATAACAAACACGAGGTGTTGCAACACGGAATCTCCCCAACAAGCAGCTTGCGCGCGCCCTCTTGTGCGAATTCTGACGAAAACCATAAATTGTTAAATATTGTCACTATATAATACCAAGCGGGCTTCGCACGCGCATGTCGAACTCGCTCAAACGCCTTTGCGCGTGTGCTGTCGCTGGAACCATTCGTCGCGCGTGCATGCCGCAATCCTTCAAACATTAGCCTCGCGAAGGACCCAAGCATATGCAGTTGTGAGCACCCTCGCTGTACGCACCGCATTCGGAGGAGCTTCTTATAGGGCCACGAAACGTGCGAGGGGTGTGCCAACATTTGTCTGGTGGGCGCATGCGAATGCCGCCCGCCACTTGGGCCGTACGTAGAATTACCTATGGGGCCACGAAACGTGTGAGGGGTGCGCCGAAATTGGTGTCGGTGACGCAGGCGGGCGGTGGCACTGTGGCCTTCGGTGGAGCTCCCTATGGGGCCACGAGCTGCGTGAAGGGTGACGCATGCGGGCGGTGGCACTGGGGCCTTCGGGGGAGCTCCCTATGGGGCCACGAACTGCGTGAGGGGCGTGCCGAAATCGGTGTGGGTGACGCATGCGGGCGGTGGCGCTAGGGCCTTCGGGGGAGTTCCCTATGGGGCCACGGGGCGTGTGAAGGGTGTGCCGAAGCCGGTGTGGGGCTCGCGTGCGGGCGGTGGCAGCTCCTTCTGGGACCACGAAGCGTGCGGGGTGTGCCGAAATCGGTGTGGGTAACGCATGCGGGCGGTGGCACTGGGGCCTTCGGTGGAGCTCCCTATGGGGCCACGACGCGTGTGAGCGGTGTGCCGAAATTGGTGTGGGTAACGCACGCGGGCCCTGGCAATGAGGCCTTCGGTGGAACTACATATGGGGCCACGAAACGTGTGAGGGGTGTGCCTACATGGGTGTGGGCAACGCATGCGGGCGGTGGCACTGTGGCCTTCGGTGGAGCTCCCTATGGGGCCACGAAACGTGTGAGGGGTGTGCCTACATGGGTGTGGGCAACGCATGCGGGCGGTGGCACTGTGGCCTTCGGTGGAGCTCCCTATGGGGCCACGAAGCGTGTGAGGGGTGTGCCGACATGGGTGTGGGTAACGCATGCCGGCGGTGGCACCGGGGCCTTCGGTGGAGCTCCCTATGGAGCCACGAAGCGTGTGAAGGGTGTGCCGAAACCGTTGTGGGTAACGCATGGGGGCGGTTGCACTGGGGCCTTCGGTGGAGCTCCTTCTGGGACCACGAAGCGTGCGGGGTGTGCCGAAATCGGTGTGGTTAACGCATGCGGGCGGTGGCACTGGGGCCTTCGGTGGAGCTCCCTATGGGGCCACGACGCGTGTGAGCGGTGTGCCGAAATTGGTGTGGGTAACGCATGCGGGCCCTGGCAATGAGGCCTTCGGTGGAACTACATATGGGGCCACGAAACGTGTGAGGCGTGTGCCTACATGGGTGTGGGCAACGCATGCGGGCGGTGGCACTGTGGCCTTCGGTGGAGCTCCCTATGGGGCCACGAAGCGCTATATTTGGCGGGTGGAACGCGAGGAGGAGGGAGGAAGAGGGAGGAGGAGGAAGGAAGGGGGGCACGCGAGGACCGTCTCTTCAAAACGAGGACCCAACACCACAGGATGGTTGGGAACTTGAGGTTTCGAAGGGGGTTCGAAAAAGATTGTCCCGAAACCATATGTCACACATGGTTTCGCAACGTCAGTTTTCAAAAGTTCCTGCGCTAGCGCTCTTGAGAGTTCCTTGAGAACGCCATTGATTTGTTCATTGAATGTTGCCAAACGGGCCTCCCGCGCCGCATGACGACATCATTCGAAGGCCCCTGCGCGCGTGCTGAGGTGGGGGCACGATCCGTGTGCAATCATACAATGCGGGCCACTCTCGCGCCTCGGCCGCGCGCGCATGTCGAACTCCTTCCAAAACCTTCATCACCGACGCGAAGGGGCCGTCATCGTCGCCGGCGTGGTCAGCATCGGCGTCGTTGTGCGCGTGCTGTCGCTAGAATCCAGAACAACAAATAAACCGAAGTGCACGCGCGCGCGTCGTCGCGCGTGTATGCTAAGATCTTTCAAAAACTTGAGGTTCCGAAAAGCTTTCAAAACAGGGTGTCCCGACACCATGAACGACACATGGCTTCGCAACGTCAGTTGTCAAGAGTTCCTGCGCTAGCGCTCTTGCGAGTTCTTTGAGAAAGCCATTGATCTGTTCATTGAATGTTGCCAAACGGGCCTCCCGCGCCGCATGACGACATCATTCGAAGGCCCCTGCGCGCATGCTGAGGGGGGGCACGATCCGTGTCCAATCATACAATGCGGGCCACTCTCGCGCCTCGGCCGCGCGCGCATGTCGAGCTCCTTCCAAAACCTTCATCACCGAGGTGAGGGGGCCGTCATCGTCGCCAGCGTGGTCAGCATCGGCGCCGTCAATGGCCGTGCCGCCATCGCTGTCAAAATTATCACTAACATCGCTACGGTCATCATCGTGTCTACTGTTGTCGACTTTGCCATGATACCGATCCCGCCCAAGTCGCCGATTCGCAATGCAGTGCCCGCTTGGATGTGCTTAGCGGTCAGCGCCACCACGTCCGCATCGGTCGCGCCAAAGTAGCTGGCCGCTGCGCGCGCGTGCATGCGCGGGCTGGCGCGGCCGCATAGAGGCACCAGCCAAAGCCAAGCACACATCGCAAATGTCGCCGCGTGGATTCGTCCAACCAGGTTGCGGGTGGGTGGGTGGGGGTGTTTGCAAAAGCATGGATGTTGTCAATTCGATTGTGAAGATCAATCACACCACATAGATCTCACAACGTAGATCGATAGGAAAACGCATGTTCCACTACATACAGAACATACAGAACTGTTCCTAGAAACTCACGGTTTGGGGCCCACGCTGGATAATCTGTGTGGCATGGACATGTAGATGTGTAGTCAACAAACGTCGCGCGTATACATGTGTAACATGTGTATACGACATGTATATATCGGTCCCTGAACCCACCATGAACCCTGCTTTCCTCGTGGAAGTTCAAAGAGGAAAACAGGGTCAGTGGGTCGTCGTGCTGGGGTGCGCGCGCGTGTACAAGAGGAAGATGAGAAAGAGTCAAAGAGGTAGAGACACTCGCAAGTCAAACTGTGAGAGAGTAGGAGATGTATGTCAGCTTGGGGAAGGAGCCTGTAGAGTATCGGGATGTGTGTTGAGGACGGGTGGAGTGGAGTAGACGGAAGGTGTGGAGTGGACGGGGGGTGTGGAGTAGAATGGGGTTTTCAAGTTCAGCTTGGGGAGGGAGCCTGTTGAGTATCGGGACGTGTGTTGGAGACGGGTGGAGTGGAGCAGACGGAAGGTGTGGAGTGGACGGAGGGTGTGGAGTAGCATGGGGTTTCCAAGTTCAGCTTGGGGAGGGAGCCTGTTGAGTATCGGGAGGTGTGTTGGAGACGGGTGGAGTGGAGTAGACGGAAGGTGTGGAGTGGACGGAGGGTGTGGGGTAGCATAGACTTTCAAGTTCAACTTGGGGAGGGAGCCTGTTGAGTATCGGAAGGTGTGTTGGAGACGGGTGGAGTGAAGTAGACGGAAGGTGTGGAGTGGACGGGGGGTGTGGAGTAGAATGGGGTTTCAAGTTCTGCTTGGGGAGGGAGCCTGTTGAGTATCGGAAGGTGTGTTGGAGACGGGTGGAGTGGAGTGACGGAAGGTGTGGAGTGGACGGAGGGTGTGGAGTAGCATGGGATTTTCAAGTTCAGCTTGGGGAGGGAGCCTGTTGAGTATCGGGAGGTGTGTTGGAGACGGGTGGAGTGGAGCAGACGGAAGGTGTGGAGTGGACGGAGGGTGTGGAGTAGAATGGGGTTTTCGGTTTTCAAGTCCTGCTTGGGGAGGGAGCCTGTTGAGTATCGGGAGGTGGCGGCGGCGATGACCATGATGATGATGATCATGATAAGGATGATGAGTATCCCAGATAATTATAATGATGATGATGATTATGAAGTGCACAAGATAGTGATGAGGTGATGGTGATGACGAGTACATATGATGGTGATGATGGTGATGACGTGGGAACGGCTTGGGGGGGCTTCTGGGGAGGTCCCGCCGGGGCTCTCCGAAAATGCAGGGAAACTATAGTAATTCATATAGGTTTTGAGGTATGAAGGGTTCATGGTGGGTTCAGCGGGCTATATATATATATATACACACACAAGACTGCATTGGCGCTTCGCGCCATGCACCTTGATCCTTCCGGCTTGGTCTGCAGACGGAATGGCAGGAAGGTCAAGCCGACACCTCAGCGAGAACTCCTTTAGCCTCTTTCCGTATCGACAAAGACAAACATCGATCTATGCATGCATAGGTATATGGATGCAGACCTGTGCGTCTAATTAAACATGTTGAGTACACAACCACAAATCTATACTATGCACGATGTACTTACATACTCACCCCGCCACCTCAAACTCCTCCTATTTAGGATTTGGCTCTTCCTCCTCACGATCCCTCCTTCTACCACCCCTCCATGAAGGGGAAAGGCTAGCATCCCGGCCTCACAGGAGAGCTGTCGGGCCAAGTTGGTGCCTCGCCAGCACGGCCGGGGAAACAACAAAAAACGAAATGGAGGACGGAAAGCACCCGCGGAAAAAAAGGCGGGGCCCTCCGACGAGGGGGAAGGGGAAGGAGGAGGCGGATAATATCGGGTCGGACGAAGAGGAAGAGGAGGAGAGGGAGGAGGAGGGGGAGGGGGAGGGGGAGGAAGCAAGCTAGGTGCGCTCGCGTCATATCTGACGTCCTACCCCTCCCTCCCATCCCTTACCATGGCGCTGATTTTCTCTATCCGCGGACGCGTGTCGTAGCGGACCTGTGGCTCCGCGCGCGCGTGCGTAGTGGGTGGTGGTGCACGTGCGTGCGTGCGTGCGTGTGTGCGTGGTTGTCGTCGTGGTGGTGGTGGTGGTAGTGGTGGTGGTGGTGGTGGTGGTGGGCTGGAGGTGGTGGTTGGTGCTGGTTCGGTGGTGTGGTACTGGTGCTTGGAGCTGGTGGTGGTTGTGGTGGTGGTGGTGGTGGTGGTGGTGGTGGTGGTTGTGGGCGGTTTGCGGCGCGGTGGTGGCGGGCGGATGGGCGCGCGAGAAAAAGGCCCGCGCTGGGGCGAGAACGCCATCCTGAACGACGGAGGCCAAACACCGATCCGAAAATGAGGCCCACGCTGCAGCGCGAGCACGATTCGGAACGATTCGGGAGCAGAAATGAGGCCGGCGCCTCAACGAGAGCAGCATTTTGGGAAAAAATGACGCCGGCGCCTCAGCGAGAGTCGTTTCCCGGGATTTCCGGGGCATCCTGTGTGTAAAAAACAGTGCGCGGAGGGTGCGCGGCCATCACCCGGACGCCATCAGGGGGAGAGGGGGAGTATTTTCATATTGTGTAATTGTGAAGGGGGAGGAGTAGGAGTAGGAGTAGGAGTCAAGCTAGCCGCTTCGAGCGAGTCATGCATTGGCATCCCAGTCCCACCCGCCCTCCCACAAACAATAGAAGCAAAGCTGCACAAACTGGGCCCGAAAAAGTCACACGGGCAGCCGGTTTTGGCACATGTGATGCGGCCGCGATGGCGGTTGCCGACGGGAACTGGCGAGCGCGTGTTGAATGCCGCGCACGCGTTGCCAGACGAGTCGAGAATGGCCCGGTACACCGCAGGAAGCCAGAGGTGGCCGGAGGAAGCCCGACGGTCTGACAGGACACCCCAAAGCATTTTTTGTGAAAAAGCATTGGGTTTTTGATGTTTTTATGTTGAAATGCTTGCAAACACACGGTGTTCGGTAGGATTCTGACATGAACGCGCGAATGTGCTCTTTGTTGTATTTTTTGCACAGGATTCGCGGCCTGGGTGCATGACAGAGCATCGCGAGTGCACCGCGCGATGACGTGAAATCGCTGGATTTGACAGACTTCTTAAGATTCCCATGGTTTTCCTATGATTTCAGCAAGAGAGCCCGGGCGGAAAATTTGTACAATTTTTGTGAAAAAGCATTGGGTTTTTGATGTTTTTATGTTGAAATGCTTGCAAACACACTGTGTTCGGTAGGATTCTGACATGAACGCGCGCGTGTGCTCTTTGTGGTGTTTTTTGCAATGGATTATCGCCGTGGACGACAGGACGTCCATGTCGAGAGGAAAAAATAAGAAACATGTTGATTTTGTAGTGTTTTTTTACAGGTTAGGATGGGACCACCCGGATGCGGCCCCTATTGGCCGGCCTGAGGGGGGAGTAGGAGTATATTCTAATAAGGAATAAGGATAGGAGTAAGAGTAGGAGGAGGAGTAGAAGGAGAAGGATGAGGATGCGGAGGAGGAGGATGAGGAGGAGGAGGAGGAGCGGGAGGAGGAGGGAAAGTGGACGAGGAGCAGGAGGAGGAGGAGGAAGAAGAAGGGAGGAGCAGAAGGAGGAGGAAGTGGAGGAGGAGGAAGAAGAGGAGGAAGAGAAGGAAGAGGAGGAGGGAGAGGAGAAGAGAAAGAGGAGGAGAGAAAGAGGAGGAGGAGGAGGCGCCTCGCCGAAGAGCGGCTCCCCTCTCTCGAGGGCGGGCGGGCAACGGCGATGGGCGCCGCCGGCGGCAGCGTCAGGGGCACAAAGCCAAGCCATGAGCATGACAACTCGGAGGTCCGCGCGGATTTCCTCGGCTCGGCGCTGGGGCCCCCCTCCCCCCAATCCCTCCTCAGGTCTTGGCAAAAATCACGCCGCGCGGTTTTCCGCTGTTTTCGGCCCCAGGGGGCCATTTCCAGCCCCCGGGACCGCCAAACAACAACTCAGGATGAGAAACTGGTCCTGGCGAAGGGGTCCATCGCCTCTGGGGGCCGACGTTGTGGCAAATATCACGACGTCAGAGGGGTGGCGCCAGGAGGCGAAGGGGGCCCCCGGCGCCGATCCGAGGAAGTGCGCGCGGACGTCCGAGTTGCTACGCTTCCATGTCGTGGTCTGCTCCCCTCGGCGGGCCGGCAAAAGTGGCGTGACGGGCCCCGGGGCTCGGGAGCGCGCTGCCGGGGGCGGGAGGGCGCCCACGGCCCTGAGATCCGGGCGTCGCAGTATAGCGTGAAGTCGGGCATGCCCGCCTCCTTCCGGGGCCCCGGAGCCATCACGGATCGATCCAGCTCGAAACATGGCGCGGGAGACGTGGCCTGGAGCTCAGAGTGTGAGTCTCAAATCAGTCGCAGGTCGTCCGCGGCGTCGTGGTTTCTCAGGGCAGGCGCCACGCAGGAAACGGGTCCTGAGGGCGCGGGTCCATGGGCTCTTCGCCGTCTCGGCCTCCCGGGGACATCCACGGGCCCCAGGACTATCGGAGCACGACTTGGATGAGCATCTAGGCGCGACTGTCCGAACAGGACTGTCAGAACACGACCCCCATGGGGGAAGGCTCCCGGGCCCAGGGCCCCTTTTCCAGGAAGACCCGTTTACGAGGAGAGTGCGCTCCTAAGAAGGCGGAAGAGCTTCTCAGAAGCGCACTCCCCTCGGAATGCCCTCGCGGCATCCAGGAAACCTCCGTGGAAGCCGCCAGGAGCTTCCAAGAAGGCCGCTGCCTCCTGAACAGCTCCCCCGCCTTCTCGGACACCCGCCTCCTCGCGCCAGCCCCCGTGCGGGTGCCGCAATACACGTCACCACACTCGGAGAGGCAGTCCAGTGAAGACACCACCACACGCTTCGTGAGTAAAGAACACGACGAGACGGTTTTCGCACTTTTCGGGCTCCGGGGGGGGGGGGGCCTCGCGAGGCCCTGGGGCCAGCCATCAAAACTATTCCGAACGAAACGACGGTCCCCTAGAGACATCTGGGGGAGGTTTCTTGAACAAATCACGACGTCGGATCTTTGCAGTAGAGACAATCGCGGTTATCCCAGCCGTTTTGCGTCCTTCGGTGGTTTCCTGGGAATCCCCCGTCACCACGGCCAGACCCTGGAAAGGGGTCCGAGCGCAGATCTTGAGCGGATTTACGCACCACGCACATACGCGCACACACACACACAACACACACACAAGACACACACACACAACGATTCACTCTCACACAGAGACTTTTCACTCAGCAGCTGCGAGCGCAACGGCGCCGTGGGGAAACGTCACCCGTGCCCGACGCGAGAAACCACACACTTGTTCTTCCAGCGGCGAGGTTACGGCACCGTCGCAAAGGGATCAGCCGGGACACGCTCCGGCGAACTTCCACCTGGTATAGCAGATGGGTAACGTGGTTTGGGGAGGAGGGGGAGAAGGAAGAGGAGGAGGAGGAGGAGAAGGAGAAGGAGGAGGCGGAGGACGAGGAGGAGGAGGAGGAGGAAGAGGCAGAGGAGGAGGAGGAGGAGGAGGAGGAGGAGGAAAGGAGGAGGAGGAGGAGGGAGGAGGAGGAGGAGGAGGAGGCCGACATGTGCAGATCAACACGCGAGGCTGCGTGCACGCGGAAGATGCCGTTGCGGGGGTGCGGCCGTGCAAGTGCAGGACTACTGGCCAGGCACCGCCGGGCAGAGTGATGCCCAACGGCGGCCAGGAGCGTGTGGTGGGAGCGTGGCGTCGGAGGCGAAGAACAACAGACACGCACCACACACATGCGCACTCGATATATATGGAATATGCATCGATATATACACATATATATGTGTATATATAAATACACGTAAGTCTACATGTATACATGCACGTACACACATGTATATGTACATGCGTACATGTACGTACACATATGTGTATATGTATGTATGCATGCAAATGCGCACACACATATGTATATATATATATATATATGCCAGTATACGTGTGTACACGTATACATACGTATGTATGTATAGATGCACAGTCTCACACACAAACACAACACACACATACACACTCACACAAAACCACTTCTCGGCGCCGGGGCCACGCGCGCAGAGAGCCGCAGCGCAGAAGAGGCCACGCAGAGAGAGAGAGAGAGAGAGAGAGAGACGCGCGCCGGCCCCGGCTCGTGCAGCGAAGGAGACGCCAGATCCACCCGTAAAAGGGATCGACAATGCCACTCACGGGGGGGGCAGCAGTGAGGGGACAGGCAGGGGAAAGGGAAAGGCGAGGGAGGCATCGGGGAAGACGAGCCAGCACGACACACACACACACACACTCATCGAGTAGGGGGTTGACTGGAGAATGTCACGTCGAAGCTGCGAACAAGAGGTAGCATGTTCCGTAGATCTAAGGAAGGACCTACGTCGCAACACATTGTGAGGCACATCGATTCTGCAGTCGATCCTCTGCTCGAGCGCACACAGACACACACACACGCAACACACACACAAGCGCGGGCTGGAGCCAAGCCGCCCACGCGCCGTCGAACGGGCTGCCGAGCCCAGGAGGTCAGAGGCGGAGTGGAGCTCGCTCGAGCGAAGGATCAGGCGAGCTGTGACGGGGGGGGGGATCGGTCTACCTCAACTCCTCCCCTCCTCGCCATCCTTCCCCCCCTCCCCTCGCTCTCAGCGCTTCGCCTCCACTTTTTTGGGGGTACCTCTCGAGCAGCGGATCGACTACATAATCGATTTACCCCATCGATTCTTCCTCAGATCCACGGAGATGCTGCGTCTCTCTCGAACATTCGGCGTGCAAATCAAGTGGTCGAATCGATCCCCTACTCGAACCTGTTGGTACAGTCGGGCCTAGGATATAAGAACATCCTCCAAGAGCATGAGACCCTCCGCCAGCGAAAATGAAGAGCATTCGAGAGGACCCTCCCCCAGGATGCACGAGAACATCCAACAAACACGAGGAACACTAGGGTACTCTCCCCGCACCAGCCCCGACCTTAATTACTCCTCGGTCCGACTGTTTCTGAAATGTTGCCCTGGACGCCCAACAAGGATACGGAGGAGAGCATGGGCACGACGCCCAGCGGCGGGCGTCGTGCAGAACCAGCAGCAGTCGCTGTTGTGAAGGCGATTTTCTGTCACAGATGGGTGCCGCCCGCGGTGACGCTGACAGCGAGTCCTGCTCCAAATGGAAAGGAGCTGCCGTCGACCTTCGCCCCCACTCTCTCCGTTCCCATGCAGAACCTCCAGATATCTGTCCCAGATCCCCGACGTCGTGAGGCTGTTCGATCTCGACGACTTCCCCCGACCTCCGTTCCCGAGGGGCTGCCCTCGGGTCCCCTGGCTTTCTCGGGCCGTCGCGACACGGGAGGCGGGAATTGGAGTCTGGTTTGGAGCCGGGGGGTCGAGAGCCCTGCAGGACCCTCTGGGACTGACCGAGAAACGACGAAGGGGGGACTGGGCATATGAGGAGGCCACTCCTTGAAGCCAGCCTTCGCGGGGACGACTGAGGGCTAAGGCGCCGCATGCAGAGGCTGCTGAGCCGGATAGCACCCGAATGATCCAAGGGCACCCCCGCTGTCAGCAGGACTGGGCCAGACTGAGAGGGACGAAACACGATTAGAACGGTTCTTCGACCAGGGATGCACCAGCGTCGATGCTGAATGCCCGCCTCCCGGACGTTGCATCCCCCCGCCCGTCACAGCCCACCTAAGCTGGGAGGTCACTTTGCGTGCCTCTTGAGAGGGCCAGACATAAAATCAGAGTGCGCCCTCCGGGCTGCCAGGGGTTGGCCATTGGACTGGGGCACCGGGGTGCCCCAGCCACATGGCACAAAAAACGCGCGCAACACTTAGCACGAAAAGTGCTCGGAATCTGTCACTGCAAGGAGAGCCCCTTGCACGCGCTCTGTGGCTGCACTCAAAGATGCGCCGCAATCTCGCGAGGCTCCGCGCACATCCCGCTCTCCATCGACGCATCCCTACCCGCTGCGGTCCTCCAGTTTCTGAGCGCCGACCAGGAACAGCACGCTGCCGAAACATGATTTGGACGCCCGAAATGGGCACGGAAAAAAAATGGGTACAATGCCCAACAACATATGTTGTCCCAAACCAACAGTGGCCACTGTTGGGCAGGCGGCCTTCTGGTTCAAATGGACACAGGCCGCGGCGGCGGCGCAGCGAGTCCTGTTCAAAATGAACAGGAACTGCTGTTGGGCATTGTACCCATTCTTTCCGTGCCCATCTCCTGCGTGCAGACATGAGGTGCGTCCTCAGAAGCCCCGTCGAAACGCGGTCCCAGGCGCGCTGGTCAAGACCGCGAGACCTTCCCGAGAGCCCTGCGGGCCCCACGGGGGCACCACCCCCAGCGAGGAGCAAGGGCGAGGTGGAGAGCCCAGACGCGCACGGAACATCAGGGAAGCCAATCAGAGCTGCCTAAGACGAAGCCACGACTGGGACAAGGTCGGACCCGGACAAATCGGGGATCTCTGAGATCCGGCGGTTCTGGAGGATGTCTCCGGCGCCGCTGCCGTTGAAGAGCGCCCTGGACCGCTCCGAGACCGTTCTGGCGAGCCACCTGCCATCAGGAGTTTGTCAGGCCACGGCGAGCCTCGGCCACGAATAGGTTGCCCGATCCAGACCTACGGACTTAGTTGCTCCTGACCATCCTGTGGTGTTGGGTCCTCGTGTGCCCTCTCCTCTCCTTCCTCCTATCCCTGCCTCTGTCCTCCGCACCAGTCAACCGTTTCGGCGCACCCCTCAAACGTTTCGAGGCCCCATAGGGAGCTCCACGGATGGCCCCAGTGGCTGCGCTCGCATGCGCCCGCCGCACCCCTTTCGGCGCACCCCTCGTACGCTTCGCGGCCCCATGGGGAGCCACACCGAAGGCCCCCATGACTGCGCTCGCCTGTGCCCGCCGCGTCTCTGGGTGACTCCCGCCTGAGTCCCGCTGCGCCTGGTTCCATCCCGCTCTCTCCTGCCATGTCCAGGGCGCATCCTGGCCTGATTCACCCGGATGGCGCCTCAGCAGGGCACGATCACCTCTGCTCATCTTCGCGCAGGCCTCCCAGAAGCTGCCGCTCAGCATCCGGAGCGACCGTGGAGGTCAACATGCGAGCCCTCTCATGATGGGCCTGTTTTCCACCACCACCACCAACATAACTTGGAGGGGGGAAGGGGGCGCACGACGAGGAGGAAGAGGAGGAGGAGGAGGAGAAGAAGGACGAGGAGGAGGAGGAGAAGGAGGACCCCCTCCCCCTCCAACTTATGGTGGTGGTGGTGGTGGAAAACAAGCCCATCATCTCATACCCTCCGTTCCCTGCGTGCCCGGGGCCACCCGTCCGCCCCCTCGGCCCCGCCCCTCTCTCCGCAGCTGGCCCCCGAGGCTCAGAGACGGTCCGGCGCGGCCGCGGCCAAGACGCTGGGAGAAGCACAGCCTCGGGGTCTCGAGGGGGCTCCTGCTCCCAGGCCATTTCTCAATAGGGCGACGAAATCTATACATATCCACTGCTCCCTGGCCAGGCCCATCCTCAACCCCGCAGCGGTGTATACGCCACGCCCTCCTGGCTTGGCCAGGAGGGCGCATACACAGCTCCTGGGTTCAGGATGGGCCTGGCCAGGGAGCAGTGGATGTGTATAGACTTCGTCCCCCGATCTCAACATGCTCAGGGCGTTCTTCTGCAATTGTAGTGTGCCATACGACTTGTTGCTCGGTTTGGGCGCCGCTGGGGTCCATATCGGCCTGTGGCACACCTGCCCGTTGCATTTCCGTGATCATTGCGTTTGCTATGCGTTCTTGGATATGGCAATACCGCCTGCCTGAATTCACTTTCTGGGGCGCCGTGCTTGACGCGTTTGATAGAGCCAATAGCGAACAGTGGAAAGCGGAACGAAACGACCTTCCGCGCTTTTAAGCATTAGCCTGGCGAAGGACCCAACCATGTGCGGTTGTGAGTAACGCAGTTGTAAGTATCGTCTTCGGTGGAGCTCCCCATGGGGCCACGAAGCGTGAGATTAATGTGCCGAAACGGGCGGGGCGAACGCATGCGAACACCGCCGCTGGGGCCTCAGGTGGCGCCCCCCATGGGGCCACGAGACGTGTGAGCGGTGAGCCGACATGGGTTGAGAGGATGCGTGCGAACACCGCCACCTGGGACTTCGGTGGCGCTCCCTGTAGGGACACGAAACGTGTGAGGGATGTGCCGAACTTGTCGCGCTGGGCGCATGCAAACACCGCCATTGGGGCCATCGGTGGAGCTCCCTGTGGGATCACAAAACGTGTGAGGGGTGTGCCAAAACGAGCGGGGCGCACGCATGCGATCACCGCCACTGGCGCCTCAGGTGGCGCTCCCTATAGGGCCACGAAACACGTGAGAGGTAAGCCGAAATTAACGGAAAGGACGCGTGCGAACACTGACACTGGGGACTTCGGTGGCGCTCCCTGTAGGGCCACGAAACGTGTGAGGGGTGTGGGCGCGGTGGGCGCATGCGAACATCGCCACTGGGGCCTTCGGTGGCGCTCACTATGGGTCCATGAAGCGTGCGAGATGTGTGCTGAAATTGGAGCGGTGGGCGCATGCGATCACCGCCACTGGCTCCTCAGGTGGCGCTCCCCACAGGGCCACGAAACGTGGGAGGGGTGTACCGACATGTGTGCGGTGGGCGCATGCGAGCGAAGCCACTGGGGCCCCCGGTAGAGCTCCCCGTGCGGCCACGAAACGTGTGAGGGGTGTGCTGACATGTGTGCGGTGGGTGCACGCGAGCGCAAACACCGGGGGGGCGCTCCCCATGGGGCCACGAAACACGTGAGGAGTGTGCCGAAGTGGGTGCGGTGGGCGCCTGCGAGCGCAGCCACTTGGGCCCTCGGTGGAGCTCCCTATGGGGCCACGAAGCGTGTGAGTGGTGTGCCGAAGTTGGTGCGGTGGGCGCACGCGTACGCAGCCATGGGGGCCCCCGGTGGAGCTCCCTATGGGGCCACAAATGCCGAAATGTGTGCGGTGGGCTCATGTGAGCGCTGGCACTTGGGCCTTCGGTGGGGCCCCCCTTATGGGACCTCACAACGTGTGATGGATGTCGAAAAGGGCGCGGTGGGCGCATGTGAGCGCAACCGCTGGTGCGTTCGGTGGCGCCTCCCGTGGGACCACGAAACGTGTGAGGTGTGCCAGAATGGTTGCGGTGGGCGCATGTGAGCGCTGGCACTTGGGCCTTCGGAAGGCCTTCTTTGGGTCCTCGAAGCGTGTGAGTGGTGTGCCAATATGAACGCGGTGGGCGTATGCGAGCGTTGGCATTTGGACCTTCGGTGGGGCCCTCTTTGGGGCCACGAAACGTGTGAGTGGTGTTGTGCCAAAGTGACGGGGTGCACGCTATCCCCGAGGTGGGCTGCCCGCGCGCTGAGGGGGGCAATGGCAGGGGCGAAGGCTTCCTAGCGGGAGGCTGATTCTTGGAAGGCGCTGGCCCTGCATCTGCAGACAAGGCCCACGCCCTCGGAGGAGCAGCCTCCCTCTGAGAAGCCGCCCCCCCTCCCCCCCCCTGCCCCCCGCTGCGCGCGGCCCGAGCGGGGGATCGCGGGTCATGAGCGAGCCGGCGGCAAACATCGGATGGCTGAGGGCAGAAGGCACCCGTGGGCCATGGCGCCCCAAACCACACGCTTGCAGTCGCTCGGACGTCCAATTCCTGTGCATTTTCGGTTTCGTGCGTGTTTTTTGTTTCATCGATGGTCTAGGATGGTCCTCGATGGTTCTCGCCGAGAAACAATGCACACGTCCGAGCGATGCCAGGCACGGGAGGCTTCCTCGACTTGGCGGCGGGCGCCTCCCCCGCCACACGGCGCGGCACTCCGCCCCCGCGGCGCGATGTGGCGCTCGGAGACCGGAGGGCTCCCAGAACTCCCTCTCTCGGGGATGGACAGACCCCCCTTTAGCAAAACGTGGTTTAGTGAAAACGACCTGAGGCCCAAACCTGGCGGGCGCAAGCCTGGAAGATAACGGCCACGGCGGCCTCTCGAAGACTGGAAACGGACAGTTCACCAATCGACGTGTCACTGTTGGGGGTTCTGTCCACCCCCGACTCTCCTCGACTCGCGGAGGGGGCGGAGGGAGCCCCGATCCTCGGATACCAGAGTGCTCGGGTCTCGACTGACGAGATCGGTCGCGACCGACTTCGCTCCAGCTTCTAGCATCGGACGCGACCGAGTCGCTTCGAGATCGGCTGCGACCGATTGGTCGCGGTCGGTCGCAACCGATTTGGAGTGCCAATAGGTCGCTACCGCTCGCGACCGAACAAAACTGTATCCAATGATCTGCGAGAGGGGATGTCCCCCCACCCAACCCACGTCTACGGGGGGGGGGTGCTGCGTACTTCGAGCGTGGGGGTACCATAGGACCCCCCCACACACACCCTCAGGCGCCCACACAGACACTCTTTCAAGACAGCTAATCGCGTCCGCTCTGATCGAAAAATTCTGGTTAGTCGCGTGCCTGGTCTGAACCTGGAAGGGACGAGTGGCGTACGCTCAGGGCCTGCGAGTCTTGGCCCGCATGCGTCGATTGCGGTACCTTTGGCATGTCCACCCCAGGTCACTCCGAGGCGCCGGCGCCACAGTCGGATATTGATACACCTGCTGGTGCACGATTAGTCGCGAGTCCGACCTGGGTGCCGTCCGCATCGCTTCGGAAGCTGGGAACGTTGGCTCACCGATCACCGAGGGATCCCGGCACGGATGCCGCGCTGGCCGAGTCGTCACCAGGGCACAGGAGCGCTCCCACAGGCCCCGTCCGTTAGCGCGAGTACACCGGCAGACGCTGCCGGTACTGCTGCTGCTGCTGCTGCTGCTGCTGCTGCTGCTGCTGCTGCTGGACGAGCTGGTTGTGAGCCGAACCTGGACCTGTCGCCGCCGACCTGGAGTGAGAGCAGTGCCGCACCTCCCCCGGGGGAGGACCACCGTGCGCCTGGAGGCGACCTGGGGGGCCAAGCGTCACAGTGCCGCTCGCGGGCAGGAGTGCCGCGGGCGTGGGGCTCTGCAGGAGGAGTCTCATTGACACTCGAGCGGATGGCTGTGATGTCTGCCCCCACGCCCCAAGCACGGCGGAACGAGAGGCGGCTCGGCTCACACTGGACGTGGCGCTCGAGCACGCGACGTCGCCAGACCACGGAACGACTCTTCCAGGCCACTCCGTGGGTACGGCTACGCTTGCCTCCTCCGTTCCACCTGCTGGTGCGACGGTTCGTCGCGAAGGTCTGACCCTGGATGGAGCGAGCGGCGGCTTCGCTCACGCGCCCGAAGGGGCCTTGGAGGTTGCGCTCGGGCACACGGCGTCGCCCGACCGCGGAACGACTATCCCAGGCCGCTCCGTGGGCAGGGCTACGCCTGCTACCCCTCTCCTCCTGCTTGTGCGCCAGTGGGGGGCCTTCTCTTCGCGGGCGCGCCTCTACCTCAGGGGGTGCGCCCAGCTGCCCTCGCCTGGGACGCGCCATCCACCCTAGGCGGTGCGTCCCTCCCCCCCCCCCTGCGCTGCTCTTTGCGCACCGCCGTACCTGGTCCGGGGTCGAGCCGCCTCCCGCCGCCCTTCCGGGAGGTTGGATCGCCCGCGGCTGGGCGTCTCGCGAGGGTCGCCTGCGCCGCTCGCCCCAGCTCTTGGCGCCTCCCGTCAGCCCTGGCCCTGAGCCGTCCGCCTGTGGTGCGTGCAGGGAGGAGGCCAGCCGCTCTGCCTGCTCTGGGCGCCAGCGCCTCTGTGCTGGCCCCCCCACCCGCCCCTCTATTTGCCTCCCCGCCGCTGCCGCCACGAGGAGCCCTGACCTGGGGGCCTGCGCCCTGGCGCGCTCCTCGCTTCCCTTGCCTCCCAGCAGCTTTGCTGCTGGGAGCCTTCGCCCTGCCCCCCCCCTTCGGCCGGGAGCCGCCTGCCCTCGGCTGTGATGCGTGCGCCGGCCTTGGCCCCTTGCCCCTCTTCTCCTGCTCGCCTGCGGCTCCGCGCGTGCCCCAGCGCGCTGCCGCTGCCAGTTGTGCTGACGCCAAGGTCTTGCATTCGCCCTGCCCCCGCCTCCGTGTCCGGTTTCGGGTTGCTGCTGCCCTTTCTCGGTCCCGCAGCCCCGGCGAGGAGGAGGAGCAGGTCGGACCACCATGACCCTGGGTGTGGTCACGACGCCGCCCCGCACCCGCTGCCAGTGGTACAGCACCGGCTTGGCCGCCCCGGGCGCCCCGCTGCGGTCACCGCTGCGTGGCTTCCTCATCGTCTTCCTCCTCCTCATCCTCTTCCTCCCCATCCTCCTCCCCTTCCTCCTCCTCCTCCTCCTCCTCCTCCTCCTCCTCCTCCTCCTCCTCTTCCTCGTCTGTTTCCTAATTTTCCTCTGCCTCCTGATCGTCATCGGCATCGTCATCGTCATCATCGTCATCGTTCTCCTCCTCCGCCTCTTCCTCCTCCTCGCCCTTCTTTCAGGCATCGGCTCGAAGCGTGTCCGCGATAAGCCCTTCGCTTGGAGTTCGGCGGAGGCACAACGCACTGATCCCCTTCCTTCCTCCCGCGGCCGCCCCTCGTCCTTCGGGGGCGGCAAAGAAGGGGGCGTCCAAGAGGGGGGGGTGCAAATCATGGCCGGCGGCATGTGCGCGGCCCCGGGGGGGTGGCCAGGGACGTACTGAAACAAGAAGAGGCGCCATGAAATCTAGGGAGACATCATGGCCCCCGCCACGATATCCAACCCCCCCTAGTCATCACCCCCCTCTTTGCCGCCCCCGAGTCCTGTTCCTCTCCCCTGCGCGCCCGGGCCGCTCGCGGCGCCGCCGCCCTGGCCTGCCGCGCGCGCGCGCGTGCGGGCCGCCGCTGCCGCGCTGCCGCGTCGCAGAGACTGGCAGGCGTGGCCGAAGCCGAGGGGGCGGTCGCTCTGTCGCCGCAGAGGCCTCCTGCGCACCTCGCGCGAGCGCCGCTCCCATGGAGCGGCGCTCGCGCGAGGTCGAGCGACCACCGGCGCGGCAGGGGTGACAGCGGCGCTGCAGTCTGCGTGCCCGCGCATGAAGTGGCAGACGGCAGATCAGGACAGCTGCGGCCAGCCTTCCGCGTGAGCAGCGACACTTCCGAACATGACGATCGGCGCCGAGCGAGGGGGGGGAAGTGATAAGAAGAAGGCCTTCTCAGTAGGCGGCGGGGCTTCTCAGAAGCCCTCGCGCCTTCTGAGAAATTTTCTGTGTCTTCGGGGGAGGCGTGGGACACTTCTCAGAACGTGAAACTTCCGAGCTTTCTGTTAGGTCGGGCACGCCCCCCCAAAGGCGGAGCTTCGACGAAAAAAAGATAGCCAAAAATACCCCAACATTGTCAACAAATAATCAAAACATCGTCCCCAGACTACCTGTTAGATAGTCTGGGGACGATGTAGAGGGACAGGCCCGAAACCTATCAGGAGGGAAAGAAACACACAGACACAATTCATCTTGGATTCCCCCGAAAATATGCGCAAAAATATGGGAAGCGGGGGGGGAAGACAACAACCCAGAACATATGGGAACATGTGGGGAATCTTTTGATTTGTGTGTATCTGTTTGTGTGTCCCAGGCACCCCTTCAACCTAATCTTTCTGAGAAGGACCGCCTCTCCTCGCTTCCCTCCGGGCCCGCCGCCGAGGAGAGAGAGCTTGCAGCAGAGGCAACAGGGCCGCGCGAGGGCCGCCCTCCACGACGCTCACGCGATGGACAACTCCACCCACGAGCGATGATCGGGTCGGGCGAAAGGGGGGGATAGCAAAGGGGGGGGTTGAGAATCAGCTCACGTAGCTGATTTTCCCGGCGCCTCCCGGCGCCGGAGGCGGCCATGTATCAAGGAATGGGCCCCTCGGTGAGGCCGAAATCAGCTGCATGCAGCAAATTTCGTAACCCCCCCTTTCCCAATCCCCCCCTTTCGCCCGACCCGAGATGAGACCTTGAGACTGAGATGCAAGAAACAAAAACGGCATACACAGGACGTATTGGCGCTCCGCGCGGACTTCTTGGGTCTGCGCTGGGCCCCCCTCCCTGGCGCGCGGAGCGCGCCAGGCGCCGCCGGGGGGGCCCAGCGCGAATCCAAGAAATCCGCGCGGAACGGCCAAAAGATTATGTGCATGGCGTTTTTTCTTCTACGATGGGAGCAAGCCAGCGCATTTGCCCAGTACGGCGCAGACTTTCCAAGCGAGCTTCTCGTGAAGAAGGCATCGCGATCAGAGGGATAGGCAGGAGAGAAGGGATCGACAAAGGCACCCACCAAGGCGCAACTTTCGAGATGAACTTTTCAGGCAAATGTGCGGCTCGATACGTAATATGCCGGCGTGCCGTTCCCGCGGGGCACGAGAGTTGGCCAGACTCTTGAAACAGGCAACGTGCCGGCTACGCACAAGCGTGACAGAAGCTCCCCCACATGCACGACTCATGAATACACTCCGCACAGAAGCGTCGTCGGCATCGTCGTCATCGTCGTCATCGTCGTCGTAGTCGTCGTCGCCATTCAGGGTCGGCGGCACCGGCCGTAAAGCCTTCGCATTACATTCCGCACAGAAGCCTTCGGTGGCAGCTGACGGGAGCCTCCGTACCATCTTGTTGGTTCTTGCGTATCGGACTTGCGATGGTATGCGAGGCCCCAATGGTTTGCTACCGAAGGATCGGCGGTGGTCATGGCACACGCGAGGGAGCTCTGACGCAGACCCCGCAATGCACCGTGCGTTCTGGCGTGAAGCCTGCAGAGGGCAGCATCCGTGGCAGAGAGACGGCCGAGCTGTCTGCCCGTCACGAGTTCGCTCTTATGTCCACCCCGTTGGCGGGGGGGTCCATCCCGGCTCGTTGCCGCACTCGTCCCTGGTTTGAGCTGAGCGTGCGTGCTACAATACGCAGATACCTATTGCAAGAAATGACATGACATGGTAGTCAGCGTGGGCACCAAACGGTACGCTCTTGCACCTTGGAGGTGAAAACTGGGCGGTGTAAGCTGCGTGGCGAAAGCCATGCCGTGTAAGCTAGGTTGTGTGAGCTATGCTCTGGAGGTGCAAACTGCGCGGTGTAAGCTATGTGGTGCACGCCATGTCGTGAAATATAGGCGGTGTGAAATTGGGGTGGACGCTATCGGGTGTAAGCTATTCGATGTACATGCTGGTGTGTAGCCTATGCCATGCACGATCTGCGGTGTAAACTAAGTGGTGCAGACTACGCCGTGCAAGCTCAGAGCACGGGTCGCCCGCGAGGCGCCGACGTGGAGGCTCAGGCGGCAAGGCGGCGTGGCCTTGTCATATCTTCCCAGCGCACGGGGCGCCCACGATGCGACCACGAGGCGGCCACGTGGCGCAACCTCGGCATAGCCCCCAAGGGCGGGCGCCCACGGACACGGGCGGCAACGTGGCGCAACCTCGGCATCACCCCCCCCCCGGCGCGAGACGCCCACGAGGTGGCACGAGCGGCAACGTGGAGACAACCTGGGATATCGAACCAAGTGCGGAAGAGAAGAAGGTGAACGTTCTCCGATCTGGCGTTTCGACGTTGAACGAAAGAGAACGAGGGGAGGAGGGTGGGGTCTGGCTCCGGACCTCTGTGCAGGGCGACTGTTCGGAACAGTGCTCCCATGGGGGATCCTGTGGGGAGTTGGGGCCCCCGTGCTTACTCCACCTTCTTGGAACAGGTGACCAAAACAGCCAAGTATACTCCATAGGGGGGGATGCGAGGGCCCGCGCCGAACGGCGAATCAGCGGATAAGAAAACGATCGCAGGTAAGAACCCCATGAGTGCAGGCACTGCTTGAGGAATCGCTTCTCGGAGGTCCGCGCGGATTCCTTCTGGTCGCGCGGAGCGCACCAGGAGGGCGGCGCCAGACGGCCCGTGGGCTCGCCATCGCTCGGACGTCCATTCCCGGTGTTTTTTCCCAACCATCCTGTGGTGTTGGGTCCTCGTTTTGAAGAGACGTCGCCCCGCGTTTCTCCTCCTCCTCCTCCTCCTCCTCTCCTCTCCTCCTCCCCCTCCTCCGCCCTCCTCCCTGCGTTTCACCCACCCAGTGCAACGTTTCGTGGCCCCATACGGGAGCTCCACCGAAGGCCCTAGTGGCAGCGTTCGCATGGCGGCCCCGCCCCGTTTCGGCACACCCCTCACGAGGATCGTGGCCCCATAGGGAGCTCCGACGAAGGCCCCAGTGGCAGCGTTCGCATGGCGGCCCCGCCCCATTTCGGCACACCCCTCACGAGGATCGTGGCACCATAGGGAGCTCCAGTGGCAGCGCTCGCATGGTGGCCCCGCCACACTTCGGCACACCCCAAACGAGGATCGTGGCCCCATAGGGAGCTCCACAGAAGGCGCCAGTGGCAGGGACCGCATGGCGGCCTCGAGCCATTTCGGCACACCCCTCACGAGGATCGTGGCCCCATAAGAGCTCCAGCGAAGGCTCCAGTGGCAGCGTTCGCATGGCGGCCCTGCCCCATTGCAGCACACCCCTCACATGGTTCGCGGCCCCATAGGGAGCTCCACCGAAGGCGCCAGTGGCAGCGTTCGCATGGCGGCCTCGGACCATTTCGGCACACCCCTCACGAGGATCGTGGCCCCATAGGGAGCTCCACCGAAGGCTCCAGTGGCAGCGTTCGCATGGCGGCCCCGCGCCATTTTGGCACACCCCTCACGAGGATCGCGGCCCCACAGGGAGCTCGAAGGCCCCAGTGGCAGCGTTCGCATGGCGGCTTCGGGCCATTTCGGCACACCCCTCACGAGGATCGTGGCCCCATAATGGAGCTCCACCGAAGGCCCCAGTGGCAGCGTTCGCATGGTGGCCCCGCCCCATTTCGGCACACCCCTAACGAGGATCGTGGCCCCATAGAGAATTCCTCTTGCTTCGTCCCACCTGCCCAGCGGTATTCACGTTTGCATATGGTTGGGTCTTTCGCCAGGATAATTTCGGTTTCGTGCGTGATTTTTTTCGCCAAGTGGTCGAGGATGCTCCTCGATGGTCCCCGCCGAAGGAAAAATGCACACGTCCGAGCGATGCCAGGGGGGAGACCCGGCGCAGATCCAGGAGATCCAGGCGGAGCACCGACAGCTTTTGCCTTTACATTTAGCAGCCTGGAACAAACGCAACACGCAACACGTAGCGTGTTGACACATAACACAACACATAGACTGAAAACGTACGTCTGGCGCGCACGCTCGCCAAAAACGTGGACCAACATGTGCCGAACCCATACGCGGCGTGTTGACACGCACTTCTTGAACACAGTGAGTGCTGCGTTTCCATACGGGCGTACCAGGGCAGCTAAGCTTATGCAGTGTGTCCCTTTTCGACATGCGACACCTGCGTCGGCAATCATGCATGTTATTTTCCTTACGAGTATATATATATGTATATATATATGATTATTCTTATTCTGCTTCCCCACATCCTGAGTGAAGTTGAAGTTTTCCCCACATCATGAATGGAACCCATGCTTTCCCAGAAAACACTGTCCTTCTCCTTCTCCTTCTCCTCCTTCTCCTCCTTCTCCTCCTCCTGCTCCTCCCCTCCTCCTCCTCCTCCTCCTCCTCCTCCTCCTCCTCCTCCTCCTCCTCCTCTACCATTACTACCATATCCTACCACTCAGTCCGTACCATACCATACCATACCATACCAATGCCATGCCTACCATACCACACTCACCATACCACACCTACTATACCAGATCTACCATACCTGCAATGACAACCCTACCAGATCATGCCCTACTAGACCATGCCTACCATACCGTACCATACCTTACCATACCTACCACACCATACCACACCTACCATACCCAACCTACTACACCATACCGACAACTCCAGGGAGGCCACGCCAGAGAGGCCACTCCCACTCCGACTCCTCCAGGGAGGCCCCGCCTGAGCGAGGAGGGTATTCACAAACCATGTGATTCGTCAGGTTTCGTGCCCCTCCCACTCCTCCAGGGACGAACGTGCTTCCTGAACAGCCGTCGTCTTCCTCCCTGCTGCTCCCCATCCTTGCCCTCGTCGGCAGTTCCTTTCGCACGTACCTTTGCGATGGCCCTTCCATTCATGTTACTAGTCTTTTGTCCCACTGACCCCACGAAGCCGTCAACACCCTTTATGTGGGGAACTCCGTTGGCATGCTTCTTCCTCTTGTTTCCATAGTTTCCTTATTTTCCTTCTTCCCCTCTCCTGATTGCTGATGCCTCTGCGTGGGCGCAGTCAAACTGCGCTCGCGCGCCTGGAAGAGGACATGCACCTGCGGCACGCGGCGCGGACAGGTTCCGGCGCGGAATGCCACTCGTTGGTGCCCCCAGCCTGGCCTGAAGCGCTTATGGCGGAGGCTGCGAGCAGACAGAAGGATGATGATGATGATGATGAGGAGGAGGAGGAGGAGGAGGAGGGAGGAGGGAGGAGGGAGGAGGGAGGAGGGAGGAGGGAGGAAGGAGGGGGAGGGAGGAAGGAGGAGGAGGAGGAGAGGAGGTAGGAGGAGGAGGAGGAGAGGAGAGGAGGAGGAGGAGGAGGAGGAGGGGGAGGAGGGGGGGAAGGAGAGGAGGGAGGGAGGAGGGAGGGAGGGAGGAGGGAGGAGGGAGGAGGGAGGGGAGGAGGAGGAGGGAGGAAGGACGAGGAGGAGGAGGGGGAGGAGAGGAGGAGGAGGAGGAGGAGAGAGACGGAGGAGGAGGAGGAGGAGGAGGAGAGGGGAGGAGGACGAGGAGGAGGAGGAGAAAGAGGACGGAGGACGAGGGAGGAGGGAGGAGGAGGAGGAGAAGGAGGAGGAGGAGGAGGAGGAGGAGGAGGAGGAGAGGAGGGAGGACGGAGGAGGAGGAGGAGGAGGAGGAGGCGGAGGCGGAGGAGGAAGAGGAGGAGGAGGAGGAGGAGGAGGAGGAGGAGCCAAACTCGGGCCTGCGGGGATGCAAAGGCGCCCCGAACCGCCCCGGCCCTTTCCGGATACTCCCACGGCAGTTGGCGGCGAGCGAGGGGGAGGGGAAGTGAGAAGGAGAAGGCCTCATCCGAAGGCGGCGGGGCTTCTCAGAAGCCCTCCGGCCTGCTGGAAGGTTCTGTGCGTCTTCGGGGATGTCTCAGAGAAAACCTCTCCGAAGGCCCTGGGACGACCGAGCCTTCTGAGAAGGCCCGCCTCTTCTCACTTGCCCCCTGGGCTCGCCGCTGAAGCAGAAACCAAAGCGAGCGTGATCCTGTCATGGAATCTCCGATCTGGCCCCCGGGCCGCTCCCAGGCGCCATCTTGAAAGGCCCATCTAAAAAAAAAACAAGCCGTATGGCGATGAAACAAGCACTCGTGCCCCACCTTTCCGATTCAACAAAAGCACCCGCAGGCCTCGGCAACATCAACACCAACACATCAAGAACCTTGATCCGGAGGCGACGACAAGGACGCAGATCCTAAGGGCGGGCATTCTACACATTCACTGGGGATCCCCGCCGAAGACGTGGACCATCGGCGCCCCCGGATACATGCATTGCCCCCCCCCGCCCCCTGGCTCTTCGTCACCATCGTCGCCTCCTGATGATACTCCTCCGCCTCCTCCTGATGATTACGGCGCCGCGTCCGCAGACGCCCGACGTCGTGACTCTTCCAAACGCGGGCGCCTGGACGTCTCGACCCGCTCTCCGGGCCCAGCGAGAGGGCTCCCAGAAGCTGCACGCTGTAGGTCCATCCGCCGCGATTCCTGCGCGCCCCGAGGGGGTCAGGGGTCTGGGGTCTGGGCAGTCTATCCTTCAGTCGGGCCTGTCCCCCTACAGGGGGATTTTCGACGAAAACCAAGGAATAATCCAAAAATGAAAGAAACAAATTATCGAAAAATAGTCTGGGGACTAGTGTTTGAATCTGTTTTGACATTTTTTGGTGTATTTTTCCCTACCTAGGCTCTGCCTAGAAGGGTTCTTACTCTCTGGGCTTAAAGGGGCCGGGCAGTGGAAAGCGCCCCGGGCGGTTCCCCCAATATCCGCCCCGCGGTTCCCCCAGTTACGTCCCCTTAGCTTAGCGTTGCTTATCTCATCTTATCTCTTCCCCCCAGCTGCGTCCCCTTAGCATAGCCCAGCATAGCTTAGCGCTGCATTAACATAACATAGCATAACATAGCAAAGCATATCATAGCATGTCATATCATATCATAGCATAGCGCAGCATAGCATAGCATAACATAGCATAGCATAGCGCAGCTTATCACATCATATCATATCATAGCATATCGCAGCTTAGCACATCGCAGCTTAGCATAGCTTGGCATAGCTTAGCAGAGCATAGCATAGCATAGCATCATGCAACATAGCATAGCATAGCATAGCATAGCATAGCATAGTGCAGCATAACATGGCATAGCATAGCATAGCATAGCAACCAATGCTGCGTTCCTAGGGGCTCCAACTTCTAGGTAGGGTCGCACTGGGGAAATTGGAGTATTTTTTTCGTCGAAAATCCCCCTGTAGGGGGACACGCCCGACATTAGTGTATCCTTACACTGGAAAATCTGATTGCATGCAGGGCGGGGGGGTGGGGCTGAGGCCCGAAAGGATATCCGCACTTCACGCAAGTCGGGACTGACTTGCACGCCCTTGCGACCCACTGCTGTTTGAAAAGTCGGCGGAGCGGGCAATGTCCTATGCACATGAACTTGCCATACTCTGCATCAGCACACGCGCCTGTCGGGGGACATCCCCTCCCCAGACCTCCTCCTGGGTCGTGGCGAGGGTCGCGACGCTAGATGTGTTGGACGTGGGGCCGTCAGGAAACGACTCGGGATGCAAAGCCGGTCCCGAGCTTGAGGGGGCCGAGACCTCTGGGGAAGGGGTCCGACAACGACTCGGGATCCGCAACATGCTCGTGCTCCTCCACCTGCACCGCTTTCGGCGCTCCTGTGGCCGGCACGCGCCGGAGAGCCGATGCCTCCGCGGCAGAGCTGCAAGCGTGGAGGCAGCGTGCGGGTGAGCCCAGCATGGAGGCGCCGGGCAGCGCCCGCACTGCCAGCCATTGGCAGGACAGAAGGGCGGGGAGGGAGCAGGAGCATGATCAGGAGGAGGAGGAGGAGGAAGAGGAGGAGGAGGAGGAGGAGGAGGAGGAGGAGGAGGAGGAGGAGGAGAAGGAGGAGGAGAGGGGGTGGAGGAGGAGGAGGAAAAGGAGGAGGAGGAAAAGGAGGAGGAGGAGGAGGAGGAGGGGGAGGAGGAGGAGGGGGAGGGGAGGGGAGGAGGAGGAGTAGGAGGAGGAGGAGGAGGAGGAGGTGGGAGGAGGAAGGAGGAGGAGGAGGTGGAGGAGGGAGGAGGAGGAGGGGAAGAGGGACGAGGAGGAGGAGAGAGGAGGAGGGCGGAGGAGGAGGAGGAGGAGGAGGAGGAGGAGGAGGAGGAGGAGAGGAGGAGGAGGGGAGGCGGAGAGGAGGAGGAGGAGGAGGCGGAGGAGGAGGAGAAGGAGGAGGGAGAGAGGAGAGGGAGAGGCGGTGCAGGAGGAAGAGGAGGAGGAGGAGGAGGAGGAGAAGGAGGAGGAGGAGGGAGGAGGAGAAGGAGGGAGGAGGAGGGGAAAGAGAGAGACGGAGGTAGGAGGAGGAGGAGGAGAGGAGGAGGAGGAGGAGGAGGAGGAGGAGCAGGAGCAGGAGCAGGAGGAGGAGAAGGAGGAGGAGGAGGAGGAGGAGGAGGAGGAGCAGGAGGGTATGGTGAGGGCTTCAGCGCGAGGCCCTCAGTTGGCCCAAGAAGCAGCAGGGCAAGTGTTCCATATGGTTCCGTTTCTCCTGGGTGCTTCCGGTTCCGTCGCAAGTTTGTTGTCGGTCCGGTCGGAATGTGAATTTCTGGTTCTGGCTCTGGTTCCGATTCCGGCGCCGTTATTATTCCTTTCCTTTTGTTGAGAGTTGCTTTCGCACGTTTTCATAAACCAGAGCCGTATATTTGAAAACGGTCGACAACTGCCCTGCCGTTCCCAACTCCCACTAAAGCAAGGCCCTCAGGAGGAGCAGGAGACGAGGATCCGAATCCCGGCAGCACTCGTAGGTGGTTTAGGGTTTCAATTCATCCAGCCTCACTCTTCGAAGTTGGGGAGAAGTTTACCTCTGCCCCCACCCTCTGTCCCTGGGTCTGGAGGGGGGGTTCCACGAGGCGTCTGGAGCATCCGCTATGGCCCAAGATGGCTCCAAGAGGGCCCCAGGTAGCCCAAGATGGGCTCCAATATCGCTCCAGATACCCCAGGATGGCTCAAGATAGTCTCCAATAGTCTACCAGAGGTGCCATCACTGCCCAGATAAGGGTTCTTAGTGGCCACTGGGCCTCCCAAGGACCCCGACCGAGAGGCCCAAACCCTTCCCAAACCTAAGGAACACCACTGTGCTGTGTCTTCTCGCCTCTCTGCTTCGGACGGGCCCTTGAGATTTCAAGATGGCCCCAAGATGGCCACAAGGATGGCCTACGAGTGCTCCAAAAAGGCTCAAAGACGGCACCCAGGGCGCTAATGAGTGCCCAAAGGGGGCACCCGTAGGCAATGTTTCGGATCCCGACGGGGGGACTGACATTCACGACCCCCTCTTTTGATCGATTATCTCCAAGATGGCCCCAACAAGGCCCCCAAGAGATCCCCAAGATGGTCCCAAGAGGACCCCAAGAGAGTCCCAACTGTTTCCAACATTGCCCCAAGATGCTTCCAAGAGGCTTCCCGAGGTCAACTTTCACAATTGTTGGCCTCCCTGTCTACGCCACCCCTCCTGGCAACTCCCCTGGACATCAATTCTGGATGGGCTGGTGGCGTGTTGGGGAATACGCGAAGCGACCAAACAATCAGAATGTCTTGTTGCCTTTCTGCGTCATCGCTCGGACTCTCACTCCCCTGTGCATGTTTCGATGTTTTGTGTGTGTACCTGTTTGTTGCTCGATGATCCAGGATGCTTCTCGATGGTCCTCGCCCAGGAAAATGCACACCCCCGATCGATGCCAAGCACCTCAGCCCTCGGGAGCTTCCAGAAACCTCCAAACAGGCCTGCTGGGGACCTCCAGGCACCCCGAGCAGAAACAGACAAGACTTAGGTCATGCATGTCACACTGCAAGCGGATGCTGGAAGAACAAAACACATAGGTTAAACCAACAGCAATATATCAATACACAGTCAAACATCGTCCCCATATCATGTTTTGACTATGTTTGAATACTCCTTCTGTATAGGAACACGCCCGACTTCAGACAAGACACATCTTGACAGCTCGTCAAGGGTCCCTGGGTCGCAGGACTTCTTGCCGCAGCGGCGAGGAGTCCCCACCGCGCTCGAAGGCAGACGTGGGATACACGTGGCCCAACTGGGTGGGAACGGCCGTTTGGGGAGGAGGACGAGGAGGAAGAGGAGGAGGAGGAGGAGGAGGAGGAGGAGAAGAGAGGACGGAGGAGGAGGGAGGAAGAGGAGGAGGAGGAGGAGGAGGAGGAGGAGGAGGAGGAGGGGGAGGAGGGAGGAGGAGGAGGAGGAGGAGGAGGAGGAGAGGAGGAGGAGGAGGAGGAGACGTGGGACACACGTGACCAGCGGGTGGGCACGGGCCGTTTGGGGAAGCAGGGGGACGCACCGGAAAAACAACGGGTGGGGGGGACAGGCTCCGAGCGTGAAGTCCCTGTGCGTGGCTGCTGCGGAGCCGGTGCACGGCGGAAGCGGAAGCCGATCAGCACCAAACGTACTCCAGATTTCGTAATAAAAGGAAAGGGGTCTCATTTCGGGGGGGGTCTCTTCCTGGCTATCTTGGAGGGCCCGGGGGGTCTGGGGACGATGTTTTGGAGGGTTCTCCCACGGGGGAGGTCTGAAATGGCTTGTCTTGGAGGGTCCAGACCCCCTCCCTTTTATTACGAAATCTGGAGTACCCCTGACCCTCAGGGAGGGGGCCCAAGTGAGGAGGACCAAAAGCGTCATGGACGGGGGGCCGTGTTCTGCAGATGCACCGAACCAGGCCACCCAGATCTATGACCACTCCTATGCAGAGTCGGGGACCTGAATGGGGCCACGTCTTCACTCTATAATATATAACTACGGTGAGGGGCTCTCTGATCCTCGAGGAAGAGATACAGTGGAGACCCATGCCAAGAAACACCCTGCTTGCCTCCAGGGCGCCCTGGGTTTCTCGGGCTTTTGGTTTTAGTTCTATGTTTGTATGGAATCCATCGACTCTTCTTTATCCTTTGCGTCTCATTTTGGTTTTAAATTATGGTAATGCTGTGGACGAGCGTGACGTTCCCGCACCAGCAATCAAGGGACTGCACGTCTGGGGTCTCAGGATTGGGTTTCACGTGGAAGTTCTTGTGGTCTGATCGGCCTCCACTGCATCTTTGAAGCAGCGGAGCATGCTGTGAGGAGCCACGGGCAGGGAGTGAGACATGTTGCGGTTGGGGTAGGGGGGAGGGGGGGGGGGCGTTCGGAAGCTCCCAGGGGCCGGCGGCACAAAGTAATCGGGACATTGGCCGTCATCGCCATAACTCGGACGTCCATTCCCCGCGCGCTGTTCGATCTCGTGCGTGTTTTCATTTTTCTGTTGCCTCATGATCCTCCTCGACGAGGGAGCCAAGAATCGAGTCGACAAAACGGCTCGACGATCGGACCAGACCGCCCAGATCAATTATCCCTCATATGCCTCATATGCAAACACGGGGACCTAAGTGGGGCCACGTCTTCACTCTTTTACTAAGGTTAGGAGCTCTCTTATCCTCGACGAGGAAGGATCCTTGAAACAGCGGGGCTCGCTGTGAGGAGCCCCGGCGCAAGGACGTGAGACATGCTGCGGTGAGGGGGGGCGCTCGGAAGCTCCCAAGGGGCCAGCGGCACGCAATAATCAGGCCATGGTGGCTGCCCTTGCCGTGACTCGGACGTCCATTCCCCGCGCACTGTTCGATCTCGTGCGTGTTTTTTTGCCTCATGATCCTCCTCGACAAGAGAGCCCAGAATCGAGTCGACAAAACGGCTCGACGATCGGACCAGACCGCCCAGATCAATTATCCCTCATATGCCTCATGTGCAAGGACGGGGACTTAAGTGGGGCCACGTCTTCACTCTTTTACTAAGGTTAGGAGCTCTCTTATCCTCGACGAGGAAGGATCCTTGAAACAGCGGGGCTCGCTGAGGAGCCCCGGCGCAAGGACGTGAGACATGCTGCGGTGAGGGGCGGCGCTCGGAAGCTCCCAAGGGGCCAGCGGCACGCAATGATCAGGCCATTTTGGCCGTCCTTGCCATGACTCGGACGTCCATTCCCCGCGCACTGTTCGATCTCGTGCGTGTTTTTTTTTTGAGGATCCAGCATGCCCCTCGACGGGAGAGCCCAGAATCGAATCGACAAATCTTATCGGCGATCGGCATGAATCCGATCGGCGCAAGTCGGCAGCCGGGTCGGGAGAAGCCAAATCGGCTGAAGTCGGCAGGCTGGTAGGCCTCCAGTGAGGAATCCGAATCCGCATTGGAATCCGATAACGAATCGAATGAGGATCGGAGTCCATCGACATCGAATCGAGTCGAGTCCCTGCCTCGATGGCATCCGCCGAGAAGGAATGCCCACGCCCGAGCGATGCCCAGCGTCTGGGGCGAGGGAGTGCGCGCAGACGACCCTGCGGCTTCCCTCGCTCGGATGGCGGTGGGAGGGGGGGGGCAGGAAGAGGAAGAGGAGGAGGGGGAGGAAGAGGGAGGAGGAGGAGGAGGAGGAGGAGGAGGAGGAGGAGGAGGAGGAGGAGGAGGAGGTGGAGGAGGTGGAGGAGGAGGAGGAGGGAGGAGGGAGGAGGAGGAGGAGGTGGAGGAGGAGCGAGGAGGAGCAAGGAGGAGAAGGCAGGAGGAGGAGGAGGAGGAGGAGAAGGGAGGAGGAGAAGAAGAAGGAGGATGAGGAGAAGGGAGGAGGGAAGAGGAGGGAGGAGGGAGGAGGGAGGAGGCCCAGAAGAGCATCGAGGAATCGCATCGGCGATCGAGAGGAATCGCCTAGGCGGAAATCGACAGCCGGGTCAGGAGAAGTCGAGTCGGCGGAAATCGGCAGGTTTGTACTGCCTCCATCGAGAAATCGGAAGTCGAATCGGAATCCAAAGTCCAAACGAATGGGAATCGAAAGCCACCGAAATCGGGTCGATTCGAATCGGAGGAGTTGAAATGAGCGATGTGGGGTGGGCGGGAAGGGCTCGAAAGCTCCAGGGGCGGCGGCAGATACAAGAATCGGGCCGATGGGCGTCCGGGGCGGGGGAGAATGCTGGGCTGGCGTGACGGGAGCATGACTCCCCCCCCGATGGAAGGAGGAGAGGTGACGACATCCGAAAGAGCGGTCGCTTGGAGGGGGATGGGGTTTCAAACCGGACCCTCCCCCTGGATGGAGGGCGGGGGGCGGGTTTCGACCCCCCCCCTCCCGTGACGGGGGGGGGGGGGTTCGAACCCCCCCCCTCCGCCCCCTCCCGTGACCCGAGGGGGGGGTTCGAACCTCCCCCTCTCCCTCATCTGCTTCCCCTCTCCTCGGCCCGGCTTGTGTAGGCGGCGGCTGGCGACGGCGGCGGGGACGACGATTGTCATTTCCGGGCTGGCGCCGGGGCCTGCGGGTGGCGGTGGCGGGGAGCGTCGACGAGGACGACGGTGGTGGTGGTGGTGGTGGTGTGGTGGGTTGTGGCTGTGGTGGTGGTGGTGGTGGCGGTGGTGGTGGTTGTGGTGGTGGTGTGGTGGTTTGTTGTGGTGGTGGTGGTTGTGGCGGTGGGTGGTGGTGGTGGTGGTTGGTGGTGGTTGAGGTGGTGGTTGTGGTGGTGGTGGTGGCGGTTGGTGGGGTTTTGTAGTGTGTGGTGGTCGGTGGTGGAGGTTGGTGGTGGGTGTGGTGGTTTTTGGGTGTGTGGTGTGGTGGTTTGTGGTGGTGGTGGGCTATGGTTGTGGCCGTGGTTTGTGGAGGTGGTGGTGGTGGTGGTGGTGGTGGTGGTGGTGGAGGTTGTGGTGGTGGTGTGGTGATTTGTGGTGGTGGTGGTGGTGAGTTGTGCTGCTGGTATTGCTGGTGGTTGTGGCGGTAGTGGTGGTGTTGTGGTAGATTGTGGTGGTGGTGGTGGTAGTGGTGGTGGGTTTTTGTGGTGGTGGTGGTGATGGTGAGTTGTGGTGGTGGTGGTTGTGGTGGTGTGGTGGTGGTGGTGTGGTGGTGGGTTTGGGATGGTTGGTGGTGGGTTTGGTGGTGGATGGGTTTTGTGGTGGTGGTAAGTGTTTGTGGACGTTGTTGTGGTGGGTGGTGGTGGTTGGCCCGTGCCGGCGCCAGCGCTGGCGCTGGCTGGCCGCCGCCAGTCGGCGCCGGGCGCGATGGTGGGGGGGGGGGGTTGAAAACCCACCTCTCCCCCACGACGCCAGGGAGGGGTGGGGGGGTTGAAAGCGCCCCCCCCCCCTCCTGGGTTGCGTCTTGTCATCGTCGCTGCGTCCCCGCCGTGGGTGCTGCTGGCGGCCGCCAGCGCCGGCGCCGTCGCCGATTGGGGGAGGGGCTTGAACCCCGCCCCCTGGGAGGGGGGGGTAGGTTGAACCCCCCCCCCGACTTGGGAGGGGAGGGGTTCGGGAGAAGGGGGGTTTGGGGGGGAGGGGAGTCCCCCTGGTTTTTATCGACGGCGCCGAGTGTTGGGGGGGTGGCCCCCGGTTCGAAACGCGCCCGCTGAATGTTCCCCAGGCAAGCGCCCGTGAAAAGCGTTCTCTCCGACATTCGAACCCTGCCCCATCCTGGTAGGGAGGATAGGAGGCGGACGGAGATGCGGGCGAGATGTGTATCCATATGCGCTGCAACTTGGAGTTTTTCGCTCCCTTCCCCGGAAACCCCAAGGCGCCCTGGATATGGATAGAAGTTCGCCCCCTAGAGGTTCGATGTCTATCCATGTGCAGTTCGCCTCAGCGTTTCGGAGCGCCTTCCCAGAAAGTCCAAGACGCTGTGGATATGGATGTAAATCTTGCCCGCAAGAGCCTCCCGGGGAGGAGAACAGCTCAGCGGCGCGCGTGGGAAGAGGCAGGCCGTTGGGTGCTGACGTCCTACCCCTGCCCACACCAAACATAAAGTCTCCTGAACCGATGGGAGCCAGGGGTAGGGTTCGGACTTCGCCACGTGCCGCTCATCGAATTGCCTGAATCGTTGATCGGCGAGGGCAGGGTTCGGATTTCGCCGCCGAAAGGAGGAGGACAACACCGAATCCCAGCAAGACGACGGCAGGACACGCACACACACACACCACACCACACCACACCACACCACACCACACCACACCACACCACACCACACCACACCACACCACTACACAGCACAGCACAGCACAGCACAGCACAGCACAACACAACACAACACAACACAACACGACACGACACAGCACAGCACAGCACATCACAGCACAACACACCAACCCCCTCGCCCACCCACCGCACACACACACACACCCACCAACCCACCCACCGGACACACACACACACACACACACACACGCACACACACTCGCACGCACGCACGGGCGCGCACGCACGCACGCTCGCACGAACGCACGCACACGCGCACAGACGCATGCACACGCACACACACAACACAACACACAACACATCACACACAACACACAACACACACAACACACAACACACAACACACACACAGCACACAACACACAACAAGCACAAGACACACAAGACACAAGGACAACACACACAACACACAACACACAATACACACAGCACACACAACACACACAACACACCCACCCACCCACCCACCCACCCATCCACGCACCGCACACACACACAAAAGCACACACACACACGCACACACTCGCACGCACGCGCGCGCACGCACGACGCACGGACGAACGCACGCACACACGCACAGATGCACGCACACGCACACGCACAACACACAACACAAAACGCACACATAACACACACACACAACACACACACAACACATATATAACACACACAACACACAACACACAACACACACAACACAAACATAACACACAACACACAGACAGCACAGACAGCACAGACAACACAAACAACACAGACAACACAGACACCACACAACACACACACGACACACACACAACACACACACAACACACAACACACACAACAACACAACACACACAACACACACAACACACAACACACACAACACACAAACACACAACACACACAACACATAACACACACAACACAACACACAACACACATCACACACGAACACGTACAAACAACATACACAACACACAACACACAATCAACACACACAGCACACAACACACAACACACAACACACAACACACAACACATCACACACAACACACGCAACACAGACAACACAGACAACACAGAACACACACACACACAACACACAACACACAACACACAACAAACACACAACACACCCGACACACACAACACACACAACCAACACACACAACACACAACACACACAACACAAATGAACACACACACACAAACACGTACACACAAACACACTCACACAAACGCGCACAAGCACACACACAACACACACACACACACGCAAACACACACACACAACACACAAAAGCCTTACTGCAGAGGCAGGCAGCGAGATGTCTGAGACCTGGCGGGTCCGGAGGATACCTGTGGTGTCCAATACCCCAGATAGTGAGGCGACAGCAGCTTCTGGAAAGTTCTTCGAGGGAGCTCTGGCAGCTCTGGGAAAGCGCTTCTGGAAAGCTTCAGGGCACACGCATTGGGAAAAATGGGAAAAGGCAATCCTGGATGTTGGGCGCCGCAGCCGTCCCAGAGCGCGCTGGAACGCGGCCAGAGCGTCCCTACGTGCACATGGAACGTTTTATCGCCACTCTGCCACTTGTCAATCCTAGACCCCCGACATCATGATTTTTGTCGTAACGTCGACCTCCAGAGGTCTCGACCCATTCCCTCGCACCGGCTTCTCATCCTGAATTGATCCTTGACGATCCCGAGGACAAAAAAGGCCCCCCCAGGGCCGACAATAACGAACAACACTCCGTAATGATTTTTGTCATGACCCGAGGGGGTCTGGGATCTGGGCCTGCCTGGACCGGGCATGCAGGATGGGGCAGGGAGGAACTGGATGCGGGCTGGAGGAGGGGCTCGCCATCGCTCGCACGTCTACTTTCCCCGTGCTTTTTTGTTCCATGTTCGGGCTCCGCGCGCTGCTGTCTCGCAAAATGATCCAGGATGCTCCTCGATTCCCCTCACCGAGGAGACGTACTGGGCTTGCTTTCCACCACCACCACCACCATGAGTTGGAGGGGTGAGGGGGTCTTCCTCATCCTTCCTCTTTCTTCCTCCTCCTCATCCTCCGCCTCCTTGCCCCCTCCAACTTCTGGTGGCGGCGGTGGTGGAAAACAGGCCCATCAAACATCAAGAAGTACACACGTCCGAGCGATGCCGAGGGGGGAGGACCGGGCAGGCCTGATTTGTCGGACACCCCAGCGGGGAGGGGCGACCCTGGGAGAGCTCAGGGGGGCGGGGGAGAGCTTTGCAGCGCGTCGGCGGCTGCAACCAAAAGGAGACGGGACTGCCGAGAGGGCCTGCGGAGGCGCGGGCGGCAACTGGGATGGCGGAGGGCCCCGCTCGGCCGCAGAGGTGCCGAGAGCGGCCGCAGGCCTGCTTGAGGTGGATGGCACCTCGAGGCAAGCGCACGATTTCCAATGGGGGTCACGGCTGGGATTAGGTCGGGCACGTCCTCCTGCAGGCGGATCTGGGGCGACAGGGAGGAAATAGGCAGGACAAGTGAGGATCACAAATGAACAGACGTAGTCGACAAAAATCGTACCCAGAGAGTTGTTTGGCTACGTTTGAACATGCCTCCAGTAGAGGGACATGCCCGACTTAACACTGGGAGGGGTCGGCATCCTCTCCAGGGGACGGACCCCAATGGACCCCGCAGGGCTCTCCGACGCCCAAGAGCGTGCAAGGCCCACGCGGTCCTCGACGCTCCCTCCTCCTCGATCCTGAGTTTCCCCCTGGCCCTCCTAGATGGTAGCCCCTCCTCCTCAGTTTCGCCCTTCAGTTTTCCCCCAGTTTCTCCCCTCCTCCTCGATCCCTCCTGAATCGTAGCCCTCCCAGCTATGACCCCCCTTGGCACTAACCGAGCTAGCAATTGCGGGCCCACAGAGGTGGATGGCACCTCAGAAAGTGGACCTCGGCATGTCTGGGAACACACTGCGCACCGATCACCTATATAAAGGCCACGCGCTTGACCACAGGCGCCAAACATCTGCACGTGGTAGCGTTCCCCCCATCGACCGCCAATAATTCCTGCACTTCGCATCGTCAGCCCATGGAATGTTACTCGATATCCAGAACCATGAGAGAGGACGGCGCGATTGTGGTCAGCCATGGAGTGCGAATTTTCCCCTCCCCCGAATCCTGAGATGGGTTCTGGCCTTCTGTGGCCACGCCCACTCCTCCTCCGCATCCTTCTCTTCCTGGGCTCCTCTTCTTACGGTCGGGACCTTCTGCATAACTTGTCGCGGCGGCGGCCCCAGCGACACACGATGACCTGCAAACTGATGACGTGCCGCTTCGCTTCGCGGCAGGAGGGCCCAGAATCGAATCGACAGGTCGGATCGGCCATCGACATGAATCGGAACGGCGGGAATCGGCAGCCGAGTCGGCAGAAGTCGAAGCGGCAGACCTCGGCAGGCTCGCGGGCCTCCATGGAGGAATCGGAGCCCAGATCGGAATCCCAGGCCGAATCGAATCGGAATCGGAAACCATCGACGTCGAACCGGATCCCAGACCCCGACGTCATGATTTTTTCATGACGCGACCTCCAGAGGTCTGGACCGATTCCCCGGGACCGGTTTTTCATCCCGAGTCGTTGTTTGACGGTCCTGAGGGCCGGTAAGGGCCCCCGGAGGCCGAAAATAGCGAAAAACCTCTCGTGATGATTTTTCCATGACTCGAGGGGGTCTGGGATCGAAGCGGAGGGATCGACACCGAGCCCTGCCGCGGGGCGGGAGGCCGGAGGACGCGGGGGAAGTGGTCGGCCAAAGAGCGCGGTGGGCCAGGACCGGCGGCGCGACACGCCGAGCAGAAGCAGAAGGAGGAGGAGGAAGGGAGGGGAGGAGGAATACTGTCATAATAAAATCCAATACCCTCCTAATATATCCTCCTACGACTCATCTACTCCTCCTCCTCCTACTCCTCCTCCTCCTCCTCCTCCTCCTCCTCCTCCTCCTCCTACTCCCTACTCCTCCCTCCTCCTCCCTTCCTGGCCGCACAGCCTCGAAACTGTGCCGCGGCTCCGCATCAACGCTCCACCACGACGACGACCACGACGACGACGAAGACGACGACGACGACGACGACGACGGCGACGACCACGACGACGACGACCACGACCACGACGCCGACGACGACGACGACGACGACGAAGACGACGGCACTGACGGCGGCGGCGACACAAACACCGGCTTCACGAGAGGAGGCGAGGCACCCCCGCTGCGGGCACTCCGCTGTTGACGCCGCGGGGAGGCCGCGCGGGAGCGCGACCCCTCATCGACAGCAGCGCCCCCGGACCTCCGACGATCTGACGCTTGGAATCCAGGCGTTTTTTTTCTGCGCTTCGGCCTCAGGGGCTCATTTCTCCGGGCCCTGGGGCGATCCGACAGGGAGTTTGGACGCGATGTTACCCCAGGGAAGGGCTTGTGAACCTGGGGGCCGCACATGGAAAAAAGTAGGATCGGAAAATGTCTAGGTTATCTGACAGGAGTCGTGCGTACCTCCTATCGGCAACACTGCTGCTGTTCAACGGTCGGAAGCCGTTCCCACCCCACGTAGCCCAACCGCACCACGCTTCTCACGCCAAGGACGCCGCGTGGGAGCACTACCCCTTGTCAGCGGCATCGTTACGTATCATGGGTAGCGACCCTCCCTCGACTCAAGTCCCAAGCGCACCACGTTTCCCACTCCAAGAAGGCCGTGTTGGAGCGCGACCGATTAACTGTTGGCAACGGCGCTGCTTCTCAAAGCTCTTGCCAGCTCCACTCCACGAGTGCCGACTGTATACCACGCGGCCCACGGCGAGGATGCCCCGAAGGAGCCAGGCGGCTTACCGGCAGCACCCGTACCGTCACTGCCGTGCTGCCGCAGGGTATTCACCGAAACAAGGAACGCCAGCGAGCCCCGGCCACGAAGAGGCTCCCCGTCGTAGTGCTGAGGAACGGCCCGAAGACCAGATCCCCTCCGAAGCCCGCAGCTGCCCTCTGCACGCCTTGCTTTCGGGGAACAGAAGGTGGCATAACCATAAAAACTCGGAGGTCCGCGCGGACTTCTCGGATCGGCGCTGGGCCTCCCTCCCTGGCGCGCGGAGCGCGCCAGGGGCGGCGCTGGAAGCGCCGCCTGGGGGGCCCCAGCGCCGATCCGAGAAATCCGCGCGGACCTCCGAGTTTTCATGTTTATGTCACTTTCTGTTCCCCTATGATTCTGTACAATACTTCCCACCGCAAGGATGCCGCGATGGAGCCTGGCACCTGATCGGTAACACCCGCACTTCGCAAGGGTCGTGCCTTTTCCCCCCTCCGCGGGGCCCCGACCGCAGAGCGCTGCTCCGCCGAGGGAGGCCCCGAGACAGCCGTGGGCCCCCATCGACAGCGCCACCGTCCTCCGCTCAGCCCCCTGGGGAAAACCCGATCGTACCGATTAGGGGGGCACGTGCGAACCCTACATGGGGAGGAGAAGGAGGAGGAAGAGGAGGAGGAGGAGGAGGAGGAGGGGGAGCAGGAGGGGGAGGAGGAGGAGGTCGTGCCAGGGGGGGGGGGGGCCGTCCGGCGCCGACCGAAGAAGTCCGCTCGGACCCCTCCGGCAGCTTGGGCGCTGTGCCGATTCTGCCCCCCGGGGCGGCCATCACGTCGCCGCGGCCATCCTCTACCCCCCACGACTTCTGAGGGGGAGGGTGGGGTTCACTTCGCTCGGGAGCTCCCGAACGAAGACTTGACCCGAGTTGACCCACCAACATCCCACGAAGACTTGACCCGCAAACGTCAGAAAAGCGGCGGCCGACCCGAGTTCCGGCAAACTGGAGCCTTGCGTTATATAGCTCCCATCGTACTTAAGGACCACATCCCATAAATAATTTCGAGCACCCAGACAAGTATAGAAACAGTGACGAACGAGTATCGCCTCCCAGGGCCCGACACATGAAAACCATCAAGTTTCGGTACTGTCTTGGTGCTCGAAATTCTTTCTGGTGATCAAGGCTGCAGTAGGTTGAAACATGCTACCCCTTACGTTTCCCCGTTCGGTACTTTTCCCTCCTCTGACCTCCTTGAGCTGTCGGCCGTCGGCACGATTTGCCAGGCCTCCTTCTGGTCCGAGCTCCAGAGCAACATTGACGATCGTCTGAAATCTAGGCCCGGGCCAATCGGGCCTTGCAAGATCCTGCAAAATCCTGCAGGATTCTGCACGCAAGCCCGGGTCAATGCACCTTCTGGCCCTGCAAAATCCTGAAAGACCCCGCGCTCTGGTCGACCCGGGTTTGCATTGACCTCCTCCTCATCATCCTGCCCCTCCCCCTCCCCCTCCTCCTCCTCCTCCTCCTCCTCCTCCTCCTCCTCCTCCTCCTCCTCCTCCTCCTCCTCTTTCTTCTCCTCCTCCACCCCCTCCTCTTCTTCCTCCTCCTCCTCCTCCTCAATGTTCGGACGTTCCCCGAGAGCTATCATACGGCAGGTCCGTGACGTGCGGGTGTCGGCGCGCGCAGAAGTTTTAACACCGCTCGATCGCGGCCCCAATCGTTCAGGGTTGAACTCCGTCAGGTCCAATGGCGTGACAATCTCCATCGGTGCTTCGACGTCGCATCATTCAAACTTGAACGTCTTCGCCGGCGTCGCCGGCGCGCCAACGCCGCAGGAACCTACCGTACATGTGATCATTGTCCTTGACGCGAGCCGATGACTTGTAAAACACTTGCGGGGCCAAGAGCAATATATTTTGAGGCTGCCCAAGATCGCCGGAGCCACGTTTCTCGACATCACACGGATCATAGCAATCTGAAGCGCCGCAGCTGCGTGGCCGCCGCAGCCACTGCAGCCGACGCAGCTTTTCGCCGGCTGGGGGCCCCAATACCGAGGGGGGAGAATAGTAAAGCTCTTGCCGCCGGGAGCGATGTGGCTCGCGCGGGATCGAGTTGAATCATGCGGGGCCTGCGCGGCAGCACTGGTCATCTGCGCGGGCGGCGGGCTCCGCACTTCCTACGGCTCTCTCGGTGCGGGCGGCCGTTGCGAAGCCAGTTATGACGCCTCGGGTGGGTGGAATGCGACACGGAGGTTCTACACTAGAACAACAGAAACATACCGCCAGAAACATAAATGCATGTTGCTCCGCGCGGATTTCTTGGATCTGGCCTGGACCCCCCTCCCTGGCGCGCGGAGCGCGCCAGGAGGGGCGCCGGAGGCGCCGCCAGGGACGGGCCAGAGCGGATCCAAGGAATCCGCGCGGAGCGCCAAAAGTTTATGTTGATGGCGTGTTTTCTCCTTCGATACATTGCTCCTGTCCGCAGTGCGACCGGCCGCTGGTTTCCAGCGGTGCCAGAACATGTTGCTCGGTGTACTCGGGTCGCTCTGCAGTCTCTGCGACAAGGCTCCACGTGTAGCGCATGTTGTCCTACGGCTACAACTTCAAGTACACCTTGCACTACATAATTCCAGTGAGAAGTTATGGGGCAGTCTGTACTTGAGGATAACTGCCCGCACTCCTTCCGGTGTTCACGCTCTGGCTTTACCCCAGTGGTGAAGAGCCCGACGTGGCGGCAAACGCATCGTACATATGATTGTCTTTTTCGATGGTTGGGACCTTGAAATAACGGTGAAACATCCTCGGCCCATCTCGCGCGCGTCGGAATAACAGTGGCTGGCAGTCGTAATGGCATGGCAGGACGGACGTTGCCCAAGGCTCCCTTTGCTAATCCTGCTCCCTCAATCCTCTTCCTCCGTCCTCCTGTTGTCTCCCTCGCACACTTTTCCGGAGACGAAGCCAAGACTGGGACGACATCGGACCAGGACAGATCGGGGACCCCTGATGCCCAGCGGTACTGGAGGATCTGTCGGGCGCCGAAACCATTCCAGAGCGCGCCGGCACGCTCTGGGAGCCTACCAGGACGCGCTGGGGCGATGTACCCCAGGCTGCCGCGCTGCCTTCTTCCCAGAAGAAGAATCAGAAGCTGCAGAAACATCAGCTGTCGGAGGTC